TCCCTGCTGGCGCCTCCCAGTGCTCCCACTGGCTGCTCCTGGCCCCGCCCGTCCCCTTAAGCCCCGCCCATTCCCGTTAAGCCCCGCCCATCCCCATTAAGCCCCGCCCATCCCCATTAAGCCCCGCCCATCCCCAGCCCCCGGGGGAAGGTGAGGCCTCGAGCTGCCCCAGGCCCCGCCCATCCCTTTAGGCCCCGCCCATGCGCAGCCCCACCCCGCTAGGCCCCGCCCATACCCAGGGCCCAGGGGAAGGGGGGGCGGCGGTCGCCGGCGAAGGCCTCGAGCCGCTCCCGGCACCAGCGCTCGTCGGGGGCGCAGCGCCGCAGCACCGCGCCTGCCGCGGGGAGAACACCCGGAACGGGGTTAGGGACCCGGAACGGGGAGGGAAACACCGAAAATGGGGAGGGAAACACCGAAAATGGGGAGGGAAACACCGAAAATGGGGAGGGAAACACCGAAAATGGGGTTAGGGACCCGGAATGGGGAGGGAAACACCGAAAATGGGGAGGGAAACACCGAAAATGGGGAGGGAAACACCGAAAATGGGGAGGGAAACACCGAAAATGGGGTTAGGGACCCGGAATGGGGAGGGAAACACCGAAAATGGGGAGGGAAACACCAAAAATGGGGGTTAGGGACCCGGAATGGGGAGGGAAACATGGAAAATGGGGAGGGAAACACCGAAAATGGGGAGAGAAACACCGAAAATGGGGTTATGGACCCGGAATGGGGAGGGAAACACCGAAATTGGGGAGGGAAACACCAAAAATGGGGGTTAGGGACCCGGAATGGGGAGGGAAACACCGAAAATGGGGAGAGAAACGCAGAAAATGGGGAAAGAAATGCTGAAAATTGGGAGTTATGAACCAAAAATGGGGAGAGAAACACCGAAAATTGGGGGTTATGAACCCAAAATGGGGAGGGAAACACCGAAAATGGGGAATTATGAACCCAAAATGGGGAGGGAAACACCGAAAATGGGGAGTTTTTAACCAAAAATGGGGAGTTTTACATTGAAAATGGGGAGAGAAACGCGGAAAATTGGGGTTGTGAACCCAAAATGGGGAGAGAAAAAACAAAAATGGGGAGAGAAACACCGAAAATAGGGAATTATGAACCCAAAATGGGGAGAGAAAAAACAAAAATGGGGAGGGTTACACTGAAAATGGGGAGAGAAACACCAAAAATAGGGAATTATGAACCCAAAATGGGGAGAAAAAAAACAAAAATGGGGAGGGTTACACTGAAAATGGGGTGAGAAACACGGAAAATGGGGGTTATGAACCCAAAATGGGGAGGGAACACCGAAAATGGGGAGTTTTTTAACCAAAAATGGGGAGGTTTGAATAAAAAATGGGGAGAGAAACGCGGAAAATGGGGGTTATGAACCCAAAATGGGGAGGGAACACCGAAAATGGGGAGGTTTTTAACCAAAAATGGGGAGGTTTGAATAAAAAATGGGGAGAGAAACGCGGAAAATGGGGGTTATGAACCCAAAATGGGGAGGGAAAAAACAAAAATGGGAAGATTTACACGAAAAATGGGAAGTTTCAACTGAAAATGGGGAGAAACTGAAAACGGGAATTCTAAATCAAACACGGCGGCTCTACCCCAATTTGGGGAGGGGGTTTCACCCCACTTTGGGGTCCCCCAGCCCGATTTGGGGAGGGGTCTCACCCCTATTTGGGGGTCCCAGCCCGGTTGGGGTTGGGGGTTTCACCCTGATTTGGGGAGGGGGTTTCACCCCAATTTGGGGAGGGGTCTCACCCCAGCCCGGGGGTCCCCCAGCCCGATTTGGGGAGGGGTCACTCACTCTGCTCCTCGGGGGTCGCCGCCTCCAGCCACTCCCGCACCGCCCGCAGCCCCTCCCCCGCCAGCACCTTGGGGTACCTGGGGGGGGAGGGGGGGTCAGGGACCCCGGACCCCCCCCAAAACCCCCAGGGACCCCAAAACCTGCCCGGGACCCCCAAAACCCTCCCCGGGACCCCCAAACCTCCCCGGGACCCCCAAAGTTCAGGTGGTTTTCAGTATTTTCTTTGGTGTTTTTGGGGTTTTTTGGGTTTTTGAGGGGGTTTCACGTGGTTTTGGGTAGTTTGGTGGTTTTGGGTTTTTTTTTGTTGTTTTGGGGTTTTTTGGGGATATTTTTGGGGGTTTTTGGGGAGATTTTGGGGGTTTTTTTGGGTTTTGGGGAGATTTTGGGGTTGTTTGGGGTTGTTTGGGGTTTTTGGGGGATTTTGAGGTTTTTTGGGGGGGATTTCAGGTGGTTGTGGGTATTTTCTTTGGTGGTTTGGGGGGTTTTTTGGTGGTCTTTTGTGGTTTTTGGGGTTTTTTGGTTGTTTTGGGGTTTTTTGGGTTTTTTGGGCAGTTTTTTGGGGTTTTTTGGTAGTTTTTGGGTTTTTTGTGGGTTTTTGGGGGTTTTTGCTAGTTTTGGGGTTGGTTTTTTGGTGTTTTTTTGGGGTTTTAGGTGGTTTTTTGGGGTTTTTTTGGTAGTTTTTGGGGTTTTTCTGTGGGTTTTTTGGGGTTTTGCTAGTTTTGGGGTTGGTTTGTTGGTGTTTCCTGGTGTTTTG